GACTTATATACAGCTTCATAGGGCTTTCAGCCCTCTCTAAGCGGTTTACAGAGTCAGCATATCGCCCCCACCCACCTCGGAAGGATGGAAGGAGTCAACCTTGAGCTGGTGAGATTAGAACCGCTGAACTGCAGATAATAGTCAGCTGAAGTGGCCTGCAGTACTGCACCCTAACCACTGCGCCACCTCGGCTCTTCTAGCCCAACCCCTGCTCAAACTGGAGACTCTATACCATTTCAGACACATGGTTGCCCAATCTCCTCTTAAAGACTTCCAGTGTTGGGGCATTCACAACTTCTGGAGGCAAGTTGTTCCACTGATTAATTGTTTTAACTGTCAGGGAATTTCTCCTTAGTTCTAAGTTGCTTCTCTCCTTGATTAGTTTCCACCCATTGCTTTTTGTCCTGCCTTCAGGTGCTTTGCAGAATAGCTTGACCCACTCTTCTTTGTGGCAGCCCCTGAGTTGTGCTATTGTCATATATCATCATCACTACTACCAATCAGAGGTTTGAGATGTTTGCTCTTTGTTGAGCTACATCATACGATATCTAATTCACAAAAATGTACAGAATCCATGGAGAACTCATCAATAGATATTATGAGTTTCCCTGGACCTCTTCAAAGGTTGTCACTGAAATTTTATTGCAAAATGATAAAAGGGATGGTATAGATTAAATAAAAGGAGATAACAGAGTCTTTAAATAATGATCACAACGGCATAAAATAAGAAATAGTTAATGGGTCTGTGAGGAAAGTAAAGGACAAGAAGTGAAATGTGGTTGTTGTTTTTTTTAAGTTGGGTGTTTATGTATCTATTTATAATGATAAAATATATGTACATGAATAACTATTGGGTTCATCCAACCCAGGGGACTCAATCTGTTGCTATCTCAGGATAAAATGTTTGCTTCCTTGTGCTGGGTGTGCAGTCTTCAGTGCCCTGTTCAGATGTGGTTGGATTTTGAAAACTATCCCAAAGGGACTTTTCCAAAAAGTGATTGGATTTTCTTGGGGTTTTTTTTTTCCCCTTAAAAACATTTTGCTTCTCATCCAAAAAGCTTCTTCAGTTCTGTCTAGTTGCCTTTTGGAAAAGTACACTATATTGCCAAAAGTATTCGCTCAGCCATCCAAATAATCAGAATCAGGTGTTCCAATCACTTCCATGGCCACAGGTGTATAAAATCAAGTNAAAAAAAAATCAAACCCGTTACTCAGGCACCAAGGTTGCAAATCATAGATCGAGGTCATAGATTGCAAAGCTGTGATCTTTGTGGTTGAGTGTATTGACTAAACCCATTTCTTGTGCTTGATAAACCTGATTCCATGGCCAAGAAGATAGTTAGAACTCAGCCAGATGTGGTTTATTTGACGTTACTTAAATCGTGGCTTTGCACAACATGTGGACCTAGAAGTTGAAGAAATTGTCAGGATCTACTGCCATCATGTGGCTTAGTGCTTCTTTCTTTCTTTCTGACTTTTCTTTTGAGAGTGTTTTTAAAAGATCACCTGGTGATCTTTTATTGCTTAAGATATTCTCTGAAGTTGTTGTTGTTTTTTTCTCTGTAGACTTTCCATTATAAGGCAAAGTTAACATTATCAGTCACACTAATGATCTATTGCAGCAAGAATCCAATAATTCTTTTTTATTTTTATTTCAGAGGGTTTTTTAAGGATGATTTTAATAAATAATAAAAGGTTATCAGGAAGAGACTGGACAGCCATCTGTCCAGAATATACCATAGTATTGGGCCGCCTGTTTGAGCAGGGGGTTGGAATAGAAGACCTCCAAGGTCCCTTCCAGCCCAATGATTCTATAATTGTTATTTTTAAAATAGAAATGAAAAGAAAGATAGTAGGGAAATGGGAAGGGAAAAGAAAGGGACCAGTGTGGGATGAAGGAAAAAAGAGAGGGTGGGAGCATTGACTTCCAACTTTTTTCAGTGCAGTAAATTACAAAGTAAAATTTCAGCCTCAACTTTTTACTTTTGCACATTTAGTATATACTAGCCATTTCTAGAGGGCAATAATTCAATCCTGAGCTATCTCTATTTTCCCCAATGGCATAGTTTCTCTTGGAAGAAATTGCATTTGGAGCCTTGGTGGCATAGTGGTTAGAATGTAGTATTGCAGGCTGACTCTGCCCACTGCCAGAGGTTCAATCCTGACCAGCTCAAGGTTAACCCATCCTTCCGAGGTTGATAAAATGAGAACCCAGATTGTTGGGGACAATATGCTGACTCTATAAACCACTTAAAGACGGATGTAAAGCACTGTGAAGTGATATATAAGTATGTGCTGCTACAATTGTTATTGTTGAGGCTTGTCAGCTGCCAGCCCCTCTAGCAGCCAAATCAGAGGAGGAGGAGGNTCTACTCTACTCTACTCTACTCTACTCTACTCTACTCTACTCTATAATAAAAGTATTGGATTTGGGAGGGCAGCAGCTCCCATTTCACTGGCTAACATTTTGCTCTGAAAAGGTCTGAGAACAAAGAGGCCATTTCTTTGTGAGTGTATCTCTCTTATGAAATTGGGGGAAAGGTTTGAACTAAGTGCAAGGGCCTTTGATAGTGTTTTGGTGCAAACTCTGACTAAATTCTCACATTTTCTCTCCCCAGTTTGACATGCAACGGATAACACTGGAGGAGCTTAAACATATCCTCTACCATGCGTTCCAGGATCATTTAACAATGAAGGACATTGAAAATATTATCATCACTGAAGAGGAGAGTTTAAATGAGAACTCTGGTAATTGTCAAACGGAATTTGAAGGTGGGTTTCTTTCACACATAGAACACATAAAATGATTTGACTTTCTTCCTCCTCATAGATAAACATTGAACAAGTGAAATTTTTCACTTGTACAGGTAATCCTTCAACGTTCTCCCATACTGGAGCCTGGAATTTCTGTCATATGTTACAAAGGTTGTAATTTGAGGCAATTTCATGACCAAGCTTCATTTTCCATTTTTGGCAGCAGTTGTTACCGCATTTTTTGGAGTATAAGATGTTCCGGAGTATAAGATGTACCTTAGTTTTTGGGGAGGAAAATAAGAAAAAAAAATCTGCCTCTGTCTACCAGCATCCATGATATTCATCTGGCTAGCATCCTGTCAGTGTGTGAGAGAGTTGAGGGCTGTTTGGAAACAAACAGTATTTGCTGTGTAAGCCATAAGGAAGGAGACAGCAAGGAGCCTGAGCATGGCTTGTTCTATACTAATGCTGCATGCTGTGCTGATATCTGAAACTAAAACTGAAAGTGAAACTTCTCTGCTGAACTAGCACATTGGAAACTCTGCTTTTGGCATTGTATGTTTACTTAATGTGTTATATTATATATAAAGAGAAGTTATTGAATCCTGCTGTATCAGTTACTTGTGTGTGCTTTCTGAATGTGATTGCTGCTGCAAACTCAACACGTCCTTGCAGCAAAGAGCAAATAGCCAGGTCAGCTTCACCACATTATTTCAGCCTGATTCAGCATTGAGCAGCTGATTAGCGGGTGAATCGGCCTCCCGGAATACCCCCAATCAGCAGTTCCAGGTGTAGGGATTGCCACAGACCATCGCCTCCTCCGTGCCTCGCCTTTTTGGCTACATTTAGTGTATAGGAAGGAAGGAAAAAGAGGAAGGAAGGAGAATGAAGAGGGAAGAAAAAAGAGGAAGGAAGGAGAATGAAGAGGGAAGAAAAAAGAGGAAGGAAGGAAGGAGAATGAAGAGGGAAGGAAAAAGAGGAAGGAAGGAAGGAGAATGAAGAGGGAAGGAAAAAGAAGAAGGAAGGAAGGAAGGAAGGACGGAAGGAAGGAAGGAGAATGAAGAGGGAAGGAAAAAGAGGAAGGAAGGAAGGAAGGAAGGAAGGAAGGAAGGAAGGAAGGAAG